TAACTTTGATGACTCTGCACAGGCAGTCAGGCCCATATAAAGCACAGGAGGAAATTTCCCCACCCATTTTTCCCTTCCTTCCCCTACCATACATGGAGAAGCTCTTCAGTCCTAGGAACTAAAAATAGTCCAGTGGATAAGTTTAAATTGAGATATTTTGAAGCACTTCTTGCACTGACACAAATTCCTATAGTGTGATAGCAAGTTAGGACTAGGCTGCTGTCCTGGTACGCCTGTCTTCTGCTAGCAATTGGTATTTCCAGTTGTGAGAAAGCCTGAGCCCATTGTCCCTGGGAGATGATTTAGGATGGGGGTGAAAATACAGTGCACCTTAGAGAGCACAGGTAGCTGAGGAGAAGCAGCCCTGGCTACAGGTGGATCCCAAGCCTCTGAGGGTGGGATGAGCAGAGGAGGACACTGCAGGAGTTATGGGGAACCAGAGAACCTCACTAGCGATTACTTGTGACAACTATAGTCTGATTCTCCTTGCCACAAGCTCCTGCTCTCTGCTAACCTCCTGAAACTAATTCAGATTTTTTACTTGTATTTTTTGTCTTGTTATTTCTTCTTTTCCTTCCGTACTGTCCAAGCAGCACAGAAATCATCTCAGGAAGGTATGGGGCTTGGCCCTTTACAGTGATGTTGAACTGAGGCCCTAAAGATCCCCAGTTTCCTCAGGGATTAATCACCTCTTTAAAGAGAACAAGTTACAGTTTTAGTGGAAATGGAACAAATTTGCACTTTTTTTTTCCTCAGATAAGGCAAATATTGGATATTCACAAGTATGAATGTTCTCCTGTAGTTGATTTAAAGTACAGCAAAGAGTGCCTGTTTGCTGGCTGTTCTCTTGCCCCACTGAGAAAAAGACCAGGGTGCACAGTAGCCACTGGGAAACAATGAAGACTGAAGTCCTATTACTTGTAGGGCAGGTTCCCCACATCCGGATGGTGTGTGGCTCCCACACTGCCGCACAAGTCTGCATCAGCAATGCTCTGAGTGGTTTTTAGGCTGGCATGTCCAAGTCATACATCCTGTGGAGGGCTGGGATGATGTATGTGCTTATCCCACAGGTTGGAAAAAACAAGCCAATACCAATGTGCAAAAAGGGCAGAAAATTTGGAAAGAGACAGGCCTGAACCTCACTGCAAGGGCTGTTGCCTCTGTAAGGAGCTCTAAGACCTTGTGTCTTTGCTGGGGAAGGAGACACAGCTCAGCAGCTGGACAACATGCAGGTCATTGTGAGGTGGCTCCATCAGCTGCTGCCCGCTCTTCCCTGTGCTTATTTTTCTCCACCCCATCCACTTCCAAATCCTCATCTTGGGCTGTTGGTACTTGCCACCACACTGTATTCTGCTCCTGGAGTCAAATTCTTGCCTAGTGTAAATAAGTGAGCTCCATTTGCTGCTGTGTTCTGCGATGCAAAGCGGATTTCAGACAGCAGTGTCACCTCTGACAACTGCTATGGGATCTGTATCCCCTTAGCAACGGGAGAGCAGCTGCAGTTGTCAGGAGCTGATGCAAAAAAGTACATGTATTGGAGAAATGTCAATCAGATGAATTGGTAACAATCAGAGCATAAAGACTGATCACCCATCATGATGAGACTAGGAAAGATGGTAGGGGAATATGAGAAGCATTTTCTAGTTTCATTGATGATCTTGAGGACAGTATAGTCAGCCCAGATCAGATTTGCTAACATCAGAAATGAAAGGGAGTCATACAGAAAAGGGAAGGCAGCGGGTGCTGAATGAACTTGCCTATGATCTGGAAAGCTCAGAGCTCTGGAAAGCATGCAGTGAGGACTAGGGTCTACAGAAGTTCTAGAGAGGAAATAAAGAGCAGAGCTACAAATCTTATGTTTGAGATAACCCAAGAGCTGACAGGCAATAGCAGTCTTACTGAGATCCTTACCCGGCAATAGAGTTGTGAAGAGTGTCAGTTGCTATTCATGGTGGTGTGCAGAAGAGTTACTATGTATCTCTGTTCTTGCACAGGGATTTCAATTATTCATCTAGAAATTTGATGTTTCTAGATACTCATCTAGAAATACTATACCTGCAGTTCTGTTTGCCTGAGGTGCAGGGACAGGTGGAAAAGGGAGAAAGTATCTGTAGCTTAAAAAAGACAGTGAAAAGTTAGAAAGAATTAATACAAAGGACAAGAGAAATACCCCCAAAAATTTGAGAAAACATCAAAGTTGGCATGAGAAGGGAGTACATTCTAGAGAGAAAAGGTAAGGAACCATCTGGTTAACAGTCCCAACAAACCAAAAAGGAGTTCTTCACATTCTTATGATGCAGTGGTGGGACCCATAATGGAGAAGGCCATGGCAAGGCAAGGAGGGTGTGCTGATCAGGTGTACTGGGAGTACATTTAGATAGGTAGTACTCCAAAAGGCAGACAACTGATTAGGTAGTGAGAATGGTCCTTAAATGTCTACTGTGTATATATTGAGCCCCAGGCTCCCATAACTGATCGTCCAAGTCACCTACCATAGTTAACTCAGATTTCAAAAACTTGCCTAGCTTCTAAACCACGAGCTTGATCTTGCATTCCTGTTTAGCAAAACCCAGGAGTCTCCATGTCCGAGTAGGCTGCTGTGCTGTCAGTAACGCTAAGGAAAGGCAGATAAACAGAGCTTTAAACTCTGCTGGCTCTGTGGGAGCCTGGAGCAGCTGTAGAAGCTGAACCAATGCACAACCAAACATCCTTGCCAAGGCTACATCTTTCTGGCAAGAGATGCTGTACCATGTGCCTCCCATGCCGACAGCTTCTCCGCAGGCAGCCTCCCCATGGAGCCAGTGCAGCTTAGCAGTCCCACATCCTCCTGTGTTTATTCCAGATATAGGTGCTCCTTAGCTCTGTTCACCACATAATGAACACCTTCCCTCCCTCCTCCTTCCTTTCTTCCTTCCTTCACAGAGTTACTGGCTGCTGATTGTGACTTTGGTTTTAATGGATGCTGTGCTCCAGCATGATCAGGACATAGAGCTTTGCCTTCACATTTACTGCCAAGATTCCTAACCCAAGAAAAGGCCAACCTGGCCATGTGAGTTGCCATCCATGGCAGAGTAACTCTTACATAAGGACACCCATGGACAAACATAAATCAGAAGTGGGGGTAAGCAGTGGAAGGGTAATAAGAGAAGATTATCTCAGTCTGCAGAGCTTCTGGGAACCCTACCTCTAGCTGGCAATAGAGTTGCATCACCTTCTGCCATGGGATATTATTTTGCCATCAGAAATGCTCTGCATTAAATACATGGCTTTCCTGGGAGCCTTCTGTACTGACGCTGTCCATGGAAATAAGTCTTGATGTAAAGCAATTGCTCATCCACTGCGAGGACTATCAGGTGGCAGGGAGCAGCTGAACATGCCTTTCTCAACATTCACCTCATGCTTGTACATTATTCAAAGGGGGAAAAAATAGCTTCATCCTCAGGGAGGCTGAAATTGCTACTTTCTTTGCTGTCCTAAGGAAAGTGAGTTCTAAAGACTAGGAAGAAATAGTATAAGGCACCAGGTCAGTTGTACTGCCTGGCAGGGACAGACACAAGGGAGCAATTGAGTCTGTCCTCTCAACACAGGGCAGAGCAATAAGACAGCTTGATGGAAGTAGCCTGAATTTGAAAGTTACCTCTATAGGATCCCTTAGGCATAGTTGATAAAGGAATGTTTAGCCCAAGGAAAAGAGGAAAGAGAGGCTGAACAATTGCCTTGCAATATTATCTGGCCTGGGGAAAAATGTCTAGAATTTGGAGCAGAGAATCAGAAATTAGAATCTGTGTGCTTTTCTTCCGATTCAGTCTAGTAACTTTTCTGTGTTTCCATTTCCTATTCTGGCTCCCAGCTGAGTCACTTCTCTAAAACCTGCTTTATTTCTAGGCTCAGAGAAGTGTAAATTAGTCAGTCATACTGCACACTGAGGTACTCATATGGAAACAAGTTTTTTATTACCTTGTTTTTAATATTATTGGATAGATCACAACTGTGAAATCAGGTAACACCTTGTTCTGCCTTCATGTTTGGGCTAGAAATACTCCACGAGTATGAGAAATCGGGAAAGATATTCACAACTGAGGTCACTTCGGGTCCATCACCCATGTACTACACTATATTTTTCAGTACGTTATTCCACCTGGAAAGTTCTTGACTAGTAGGATGCCACTACAAGTAACTCTTCCAACATCTGATTTACCAGGTCCTGCCTGTTTACTAGCTCCCGCCTGTCCTTGCTGGTAGCCCTCCACTGCTGATTCCTAAAAAGTGATATATTCTACCAGAGCTCACCAGCTTCTGCCAGACATGGACACCCTTGCTGCAGTAAGTGCCTGCAGAGAAAACATCCTCCACAAGTCAATGTAGATAAGTTCCTCCCTGAGCTTGCCAGAGTGAGAGAAATAAATGAGCTACTGACAACACTCTTTTAGGACTATGCTGACTGAAAATTATCTCTACTCAGACCTTAATCATGTGTAATACTACATGCCTCTGTCCCCATGGAGAGCTGAGCTGAACAGAGGGCTCCTCCGGAACCCCTTGGAACGATCACCCTGTGCTTGGACACACAGATAGCTAAGGAGCAAAGTGAGATCTCTGAAAGGCCAGGCCTGGGAAATTTAATCCCCAACTTCTTTTCTGACACCACCATTTCCCCTTAGTCTTCTTCAGCCCAAAGTGTTGAAGAAACCAATGACCTCCACCCAGTTTTCAGCACATAGAGGTGCTAAAGCACAGCTGATTGTGCGGCTGCAGCTTCTACAAGTGACTCCCAGATCCCAGACTCTTCCTCTCATCTGTTCCTTCAGACATCTTGTATGAGGAAGACCCCACTGCCAAAGCTGCAGTAGGAAGCCCCAGTCCCTGCAGGTGTCACTTGACTCTGCTTCTTCCCAAGCTAGAGGAACTAACCCACTTGACACTTGCAGGAATGGGGCTTTTGGAAGGAGATCCAGCACAGGAAGAGGGCATGGGTGAGTGGCAGGGTACAGAGGACTTACTGGCCTGCTTGGCTTTCTCTGCGTATGTGGTGGTTAGGTCTTCATCAACCGGGTGCTCCACTGGCCCCACCATGGGGATGAGGTGGCGTTCCGCTCGGATAGCCTTGGTGGCATGGGGCAGAAGCATCGCTTCTGGAGAAGTCTCTCGTCCCTCTGTTGATGGTGGCCTCAACTGTCCCTCACTCTCTGAGAATGGAGTGTCTGTGCGGCTGCCAGGCGGGCAGGCAATCTCCCTCTTGGCCACGCCACTGGAGCTGGCCACTTCGGCTCCCCCCTGCACAGTGGCCTCTGGCATGCTCTCGTAGCCACTTTGTTCGGACAGGGACACCTCATCTTGAGGTGCATCCACCTTGCTGTTGGTGCTGTCGGGTGGGGAGCGTGGGCTCTTCTTGCGAGCCCGGCGGTGCTTCTCCTGGGCCACATTGTCAGCATCGCTATCTGTCTCACCATAGTAGGCCTCACTGTCCGGTGGGGAGGTGACACTCTCCAGGTGCCTCTGTGACCTTTGTGGCTGTGAGGGCTGTGTGGTGGCTGGGGCTCCTGCTGGTTCAGGGCTGAGTAGCTGTGCCGGGGGACTGAGCGGGGACGGCGGAGAGAGCACTCGCTGCCCTGGAGAAGGGGAGCGCTGGAGCCGTGGGCCGGTCTGGTCCCCACCAACTATCCTGTGGTGAGAAGGAAAAGTGGTGAGGGAGGTGTGGTTGGAGGGGCTGAGCTGGAAGGACACCCCTACACATGAGAGAGGGGTAAGGATTGAGCTGGCATTTCAGGTGTCTTTCAGATAGTACAGACACCTGAAATGTAGACACCAAGGACAGACTCATCTCTGACATCAGCTACATGATTATCTGCTTCATGACTCTTAGAAAACCAGGTGTTAACACCTGAAAATCAGAATGCCCTGAGAGCATTAAAATCTACAAGCCAGCTTAATCAGCTCCCCAGGCATTTCTCCTGGGGAGGTGAATTCCTGCATAGCAAACATTCCCCAGGATAGTGGGACATACTCCTACAGCCTGCCGCTTGCCCCAGGTGGGGAACGGGTGATGCCTCAGCCACCACACTGAACTCTAGCTGCTCCTGCAGTTAGCACTGCACCGTGGAGCTCTCAGCTCTGTGGATCCCGGCACCCCTAAGCTGCTTTAGTTCAGAGTGGGCTCCAAACAAAGAAGTGGGTGCTGTTTGTTTGCTCTGATCTCTATGTGGGAGTAAATAGCAAATACTTAGGAGAAAAACGGCCAGGGGGGTAGCGCTCTGCTATCTTGTGGTAAGAGTCCACCCTGATGTGTGGCTGGCTTGCTGTGGGACTGCTTTGCAAGCTAGCTACCAGTGTCTGGGTTTTGATGACTGAACTGCAGTCATGTAGCCAGCCCAATCCATGGTGGCATTCACCTTTGGCGTAGACATATCAACTTCTAGCCTGTAAATCAGCTGGAAGGATGACTAGAGTAGGGGCAGGGCAGACTGGGGCAGTCAGACCTATTGCTGACTGCCAGAGGGAGGGACAGTTGGCTATGCTGATGGGAAAAGAGCCAGCTCTGTCCTCCCCCTCCTCAAGACTGAGTCTGGACTTCAATGGCAGCTTGACTCCAGACCACACAGATGGGGCAGGGAACTTCTTTCTTCCCTTGCCAGAGTCACTAGGGTTTGTTAGAGTTATAAAGGAGCCCTAAGTATATGCCTTCTGAGCATGTATACCAGGAAGCCAGGCAGACATTACTGCCTCTGTAAAGCTGTGGAATTCATGACTTGGATCCCAATTCCAAACTGTGAAAAATTTATACTCAGTTCAAATGCAAACCTTTGTGAAAGCTGAGGGTGGGAAAATTTCTCTGACAGCTTATTTTTTTAATAATATTTGCTATTATGAACTCTCACTGGGGAACAAACTCAAAGATCCCCAAGCAAAACAGAGCAGTCCTTCCTTTTCTTTTAGTACTTGACCAGATAACTGAAAAGCATTACTGCTTGTAAGCCAGTTTCTCTTATTCTGCACTGTCAAGTCACAATCTCTCCATCCCTCTCTCTCTTCACACACATCCCAATCACATACACATACGACCTTGCATACTCCAGAGTCATCCAGCTATCTCTCCTTTCTGAACTGGACTGATTGGTGTTTTCTCTGGGAACATAAATATGAAGTGGGAATAGAGATGTGATCAGAAAGTAGTGTTTGATGAGTTTTCCACTACCACAAGATGAAGCCAACCGGTTACGTTATTTCCAAACCGTCCAACGTTGGCTCCCAAAACGGGCTGAGAGAAGCCTGCCTTTGTCACTTTGCTAATTCAAAGTGTGCTGATTTTGGCCCATTGGAATTTGCCCAGGCACCTGTTGGCTGCCAATAGGCTCCGATGGGGTGAGATAAAGCCTTGGCAAAGGACCAGGAGCTATTCTGGACATCTTGTGCAGGGCTCACTCATCCCACTTAATCACAGCTAGGGTATAGGTTGAGCACATCAGAAGGCACCGGCGCTTTCCCTGAAGCCAAGGGGAAGATCCTACATGCTCAGGCTTTCCTTGTCTGAGCACTGGGCACCTCTGCCCTTGCTTTACAGAAGTCAGCATCCAGCATGGCTCTCCCTCTCAACTGCTCACAGTGCTCTGTCTTTTCAGGGCTGTATCTCCCTGCCCCCACCACCAGGGCCTTATTTCCTGAGGGTGGCTTCTGTTTTGGCAGTAGTGTGGACTAGCTGGGACCTCACACAGCTTTGCTGCCTTCATCTTTATATGATTCATTTACAGCTTGAGCCTCATCCAGCATGCATGAAGGTACTGGGATAGCTTAGCACAGGTAGAACCAGGAACATTACTGGGATCATTTTTGTGCTTAAATTTGAGCCTGGTCTCCAGTATTCTGCTGGACTAGAGACTGACAGAGATACTTCCTCCTGTAAAAAGGGACTCGGCTACACACCTCTTATCTTTGTGGAAATCAGTTCATACCCTGTTGGACTACAACAACCTGCTGTAGTAAATACTCAGGTAATTTTGTCTTGGTTCAATTACCCAATGTGTAGTCAAATCCACTTCTACAGAACAGTTATTTACCCAGAATGAACTGGAGTCTCTGTTAATTGCTGAGATGAACTGTCCTATGGCATCTGGTTGCTTGGAGCCTAAATTGCTTATTCTTTGCAGCATAGGCCTCACACTGCAAACATTTCCCTCCAGCCTGAGGGGCAGGGGCAGGGAAGTTTGGGGTCAGTTCAGCCCCAGGGCCAGGCACTATGGAGAGCAGCACAGAGACAGTGCAAAACTTCTGGATAGCCACATGTTAGCCATGGTGAAGTTCTCCTAGTACACCTTGCAGTGTGGAGAAACCAAAGGTTTCCTGCCTGCCTTCTTTCTGCTAGGTGTGGATAGCTGCTCTGCTGGATGAAGCTGCCCTGCTGCCTGCACTGTCACAGCACCAGCACTTGGGAGCAGGTTACCTTTTCACACGGATGTTGAGCATGCCATTGGAGGAATCGATGATCTGCATGGCAGTAGCATGGGAGAGGCCAGCACATGACTTCCCGTTGATAGATACTAGCACGTCATTTTCCCACAAGCCTCCGTGGCACGCTTTGCTTCTCTTTCGGATCTGGAAAAGCAGAAGAGAGAGGATAGGGATGAAGGGAAGAACAGCAGCTATTTAGTTTAGTTGTTTGTCTCCTGCTGGCCCTTCCATTGCTCTGTCCCTGAGAGAATAAAATAAGGCCTAAGACTTCTGTGCTGCCAGGGTGGAGGACCGTCCTCTTGGGTGAGCCCTGGCTGTGCCTTTCAGTCTCTGTATTCCTGTTAATTCCAAGAGTTACTCTGCTGATCATAGGCCTGACCTGATCACTAACCCAATTCAAGTCCTTCGGTGCAAACTCAAGAACGTCTACATGCTCTTCTCCTCTCACTCCCTATCTCCTAAATCACTTAGGGAATCTGTGTTTCAGAGGGGAAACAGGTACTCTTTCCAGACTATCCCTGTACATGGCTCTGTGTCCTTCTGCATGCCCCTCCTGTGCTTCCTTGGTATGATCCTTGACACTCATGCAGAGCCCCTGCAGTTACCATCCCAGGGGAAGCTGACATCAGGAAGAGAGAGTGACTTGGAGGCACTTCCTTCTGTCAAGCATTCCTGCTCTAATGGCTTTGGCCAATGTATTTCTGGACATCTGCATCAGGCCACATGGTGTCATGTTACACAAGTGTAAACTTGGAGTTAATCTTTAGCCTTAACTGGAGCTGTGCAGTATATGCATTGCTATATCTGAGAATGGAGTCTGGGTGTCTAGTTCCAGGCTATTTCCTAGATCTGGCCTCTCATGGCCATCTTACACCAAGTGTTTCCTCTCTCTTTTGTTCCATCATCCATCAGTTAAACTTCTTACTGAACGCCCAACCCCACCTAGCCTTTCAGTTAGGGAAAGCAAGCAAACTATTTGCCCACTCAGCCCAAAACCACAGACCTCTCCCATATAGGCAAGCAATGGAATAGTCTTGTAGGACAGCTTGGCACCCATAATGCACTCATTTTGCACGTAAGAGAAAATGTGGGCAAAAACACTGGGTCAAGGCAAATCAGGCCCAAAGTAGTGACACACTGGATTTGTAGATACACCTAGAATATTTCTTCAGATCTTGCAGTTCAGTGAGAGACAAATTAGTGCAGAGCAGATTAACAGAGGGTGCAGTGAACAAACTCTGGCAGATCCCTGCAAAGAGGTAATACATAGCAGGGCAGATTCTCCCATATCTTACAGCCTTGCTGCTTGAGCAGCCAGACTTAGCTATAAAATTGCACAAGTTACTTTACCCATCCTCCCATGGCAGCCCCAAGAAAGAGAACTGGATGTGAAAGGATTGCTACCCTGTCATTGTTCATGCAGGGGCTGGAGGGGACCAGGAAAGGAGTTGGAGCCCTGAGAAGGTCCTGTGGCATGACTGGCTGGTCTCGGGTCCCAGGCCCTCCGCACCCATAGGGTGTGTGCACCACCAGGGTTCAGCTCTGCTGGCTTGTGTTTAGCAGGCAAGACCAGCACTCCTCCCAGGTCAGCCTGGCAGCAGGACAGAGGTGCTGGGGAAGATGGAAAGTGGAGAGCTATGCTCCAAGTTGTTTGTGTGTTCACTGGCACTTTATCACTCTGTAGCCTCTCCCTCCAGCTTGACCCCAAATTTTGCCTGCATGCTTAAAATAGGGATTGGTTCATCCCAGCTGCCACATCCATCAGCCTCTGTCATTTTAGTCCGTTATCTCCCTCCTTACAAGCCTGGAATGAGAACGTGTGGGTCTGTAATGAACTACTGCTGAAGAACCACTTTTCTGCTGCTACAGTATAAATGCTGCTTCCTGATACTCACTCAAGGTGCAGCTGTTAACTGAGAAGAGATAGCAGACGCATTTTCCAGTGCTGCCTATTGACATAGCAGCTAATGCAGAGTTAGGAAGTTGAAGTGAGGTTAGAAGGAGGGCCTCCTTCTGGTATTTCCCAAAAGGCCAACTGCTGTTCCATGGCCAAGTGCTTTGTGCTCAGCACTGGATGGGAACACACTTGCTGAGTATCTCTCCCAATTAAGGAGCGAAGGGATGGGGTTAAAGGCTGCCAGCAGGTGCTCGAGCATTCCTCACATCCCATTGTACTCCTTCATGCTCACTGAAATCAACTGGATGTGGGCTGGTGACCACCCAAAGCAGAGCCGGTAAGCTTCCTGCAATCCTGTGGTCTCACAGTACTGCAGTACTTTGCAAGCAAGTGTTTGGGATTCCCAGGCAGGGAGGGTCAGGCTGCACTCCCTGCTGCTGCTTCAGGCACCTTTAGATCAGAGTAGGCTGGTGGGACACAAGCTGCCCCATGAGGGCTGAGGATTGTGAGCAAGCAATGCATTTCTTTTGTGGTTAGTCAGGATGCTGGCTCTAGCTTGGTCTGTGCTCAGGTTTTAGCAGTGTGGCAGAATGCCCATGCACTAAAGCAACTATAATTACTTCAGTGCTGTTATAGGAGCTTGCAAACTAGTTCTATAATCCAGGAGCGGACTTCTTTCTGTCTCCATTCCTCTTCGGGAAAACGGGACGAAGTCTCTTCCAGTGCAGGAAGAGACCTAGAGAGTCTGAAAATAGCACATAAATATTCCTGGCCATCAGTCTCCCACATGTCTACAAACCCCTCCCTGGAAGTTTATGAATCTGCTTCCCAGGGACAAACAAATTATCCACAACTTCATTTTAATGACAAACCCCCACCCCACTGAATTTGCCAGGGAGGAAAACAAAAGAGTTAAAGGCAGAAGAGGATTGTGCAGGCAAAGATGGAAGAAAGCACATCATACAGGAAGGACAGGACTTAATCCACAACCATGACAGCAGGGTGCAGTGTGCCGGAGGCTGGAGAGCCTCTGGACAGAGACCAGCACAAGCCTGCCAGTTTTTATATGACTGCCAGCACAGTGCTGTGGAGACCTTTAATGACAACTGAGCCTGCTTGTCTTGCTCACAGTGAGGGCAGCACTGAGCCTTTGAGGCCCCAGGCCAGGGCTGCTGCCCAGTATGAAAGCCAGGCTCACTGCCCACCCTGAAAGTCAGGCTGCCCTTAGGCTCAGCCTCTTGCTCCCCGTGTCCAAAAGATGCCCTCTCCTGGGCACTCGGTGTGTCACATGAAGCGTCACTAACAGGGAGCTTCTGCTTAGGCTGCACATAGGTTAGAAGGTGTCATCCAGCAGCTGTGCTGAAGAGATGGGAAAGGATGGGGAAAGGTATTTCAAAGAGAAGTCCTCTCTGCTTTCTGTAGCAGATCCCTGGAGACCTTTCTTGTGCAAGTGAGAGACAGCACTGTGGGACTCTGACAAGTGGTCAGGGCTAGCCCCAGACCTGGTCCTGGGGGATTGTACTGTCTGACCTTCTAGAACATACTGCGAGAACTGACCTCTCCTTTTGGGTGGGTGGGAACCCCATGAATTCTCTGAGCCTCTTGTAACTGCTGCCTGTTACACTTTCCACTCTGTGCCCCAGTGGACACGTGCCCCCATGGCACACCTTTGCTCATGTGGGAGGAATGTTCTGTTTAGATTTCATCTGGGTTTAGGGAATCCCAATTTCAGAGCCTTACTGACTTACGCTACCGGAAATACAAATCAGTGTGGAAAACTGGAACTATAAAATAATGAAACACATTTACTCATAAGATTGTTCATCTTACTGCCCTCTCAGCAGGGCTTATGTTGTGACAAAAGAGCTCTTGTCAAAGAGGTTTGAGTGTCTGCAGTACCTAGGTACGTGCACATACACGTGCATGTTTTCTTTCATTACTTTGCCCTCTTCCTCTCATTGATCGTGTTGAATCAGACAGGAGGGAAAGGACAGAAGCAGCTGAGGGGAAAAAAGGAGAAGGGTAAAGGCAACAAATGAGGAGGAAAAGAAGAAGAGAAGGTGTTGAAGGGAAGGCCAGTGCTAGGAGAGGCCAAGAAGGCCAGGGCTAGGATCAGGCTTTAACAATACAGTACAAGCTTCCTTGTACAGACCTGGGGAGACAAAAGGACGTAATGATCATTGGACGTGTCTCAGGGAAATTCGGCCTGGCTTTTGGGAACAGAATGCAAGAGAGGAGGGCGTCAGATGCAACTTGGCAGCATCTGTCCTTCAGTAGAGACTATATTTAGATAGTGGTATGTGGGGGTGAACACACACTGAGATGCTAAGAATAGGGTAATACTGATAGTAACTCAGTGGCTTCACATATTGACTGAGTACAGCCCAGGGAACCTGTCTCAGAACTTTGCAACCATCCTCCCTGCTGGCCAGCACCACTTCTTCATAAGAAAGGAAGTATGCTGTGGGTAATCAGAAGTGGTTTGCAGTGCCTTTCAGGAATAAGCTGTAATAGGTTTACGCCCTTGCCTCCCCATGGCAACCTTCCACTTCCTCATCAGGAGAGTTTAGTCTGTAAGGTAGGAAGACAAATTATATTATTAGTCTTCCCCTAATCTCCTAAAATCTTTCCATCAGCAGCCTAGAAAATTCAGGCCAAGTCAGAGTTGTATATTGAATACAATTCATCTTCCCATCCAATGTCCCTTCCACTCTCTGCATTTCTCATCACACAGCTGCCCCCCTTCCCTCAGCAGCTACAATGCCATGGGGTCCAACATTCCATGGCAACCTGGCAATGTTTAAATTTCACTCCCAGCCTTATGTGAAATGTAGTCCTGTCACAGGGTTCCTATGGAGAGGTAAGAACTGCCTTGCTGTGATATAAAGCATTACCAAAAGGGAATGAACTCATGCAGGAGGCAGCCAGCACTGACTGCTCCTCCCAGAACTTCCTGCTCAGTGGAACCAAGGCCAGGGCCTAATCTTTACTTGTGCAAGGAAGGATACCCCTGTGGCTAAAGCACTAGAGTGAGATTCAGGAGACCTGGATGATTTTTTGTAACCTTGGAGAAAACACTCAGACTGTGACAGGAGCCAGGAAATCAGGATGTTTTTCAACATTTTTTTTCTCTGGCTCTTAAATTTTCTTTGTCTCTGCTGCCCACCTGGACACAGAGATCCAGTAAGATACCTTTTCTATGTCTTGTCTGTTATGTATGTGAAAAACATTACATCTTCATGGCAAT